CTCGCCGGCGCCTGGAGCCCGGAGGCCGAGTCGCGCCAGCCACGTGACGCGCTCGCCGAGCCGCAGTGGCGCTGACTGGGTGGGCGGAGGCGGCTGGGGCGGGCCGGGGGCGCACGCCCCGCCTCGGGGTGCTGGACAGCGCGGGCCAGGCGGCCTCTGGCCAGACCCGCACGGTCCTTGAGCGGGCCTGTTTGCCCAGGGTCCACCTGGCCACCTTAAGCCCAGGAACCAGGCCCTCCCCAAGTCCAGCAGTGCTAGTCGTGCAAAAGAAGATGGATTATGGTAAAGGGTGGCCAGAAAGAGTCGACTCAGGGCTGCTTAGGGACCCTAGAAGCAGGATAAGACCTTTCCCCTGAATAAGGCATCTCTGTTCCTGCACCTCGGCTCCCTACTTCTGCCACAGCCCAAGTTTCCCCCATTTCTAAGATGAGCTCACTGAGAGGATCCCTGAAATCTCGCAATCGTCCTCACAGGTCCTGGGGGAATGGGAAGGAGAGCTGCTTTTCAGACTTGAGGCCAACTGGAGAGCTATCAATCATGCGGCTGGGTCCGTTAGAAGCCGAAACCAGAGATACAGGGAGGCACATGAGGAGGTCATTCAGGGTCAGACAGCCGCTGCTCAGGCCCAACCCTTGTTCCATAAGGCTGAGTGTTGTTAAGCTGTGAAGTGCCATCCAGTCGGTTCTGACCCATAGCGATCCTGCTCAGGATTTCCGAGGAGCGACTGTTGAGCTTGAACGACCCACCTTAGTGTTCAAACCGACTTTGCAGTGCGGTGCATTAATCCACAGCCACACTCCATAAAACTGCTGGAACTCCAAAAGTTTGCTGGCAGTGGGGCTGTGGTGTGCCTCAGCTCTGGCTCCTCCTCCAACCTCCCCCATTTGATGGTCTCCCAATATTTGCCCAACATTTACTGTGAGAAGGTGGAGAGGAAGTGAAACAGTCATGCAAGTTGTAGGAGGAAGCACAGTTAATTTACTAATGCATATTCATTGTGCAGGCCAAGTGGATTTTCATAGAAATTTTGGAAAAACACTTGTTTTTCTGGATTTGATTGCCCTCACTCTTACAATTCCTTTGGTGAGTTTTCCAAAGAGGGTTTTTTTCTTTGGGAAATATATGAAAGGGTTTAAATATTATATAATGAAAATATGTACAATGGTCAAAAGATGGAAGCAACCCTAATAAGGGGGTAAACAAAATATGGAATATAGATCGAATGGTATATAGGTACAATGTTACATACATTTCTCAACCATAAAGAGAAATGAAGCCCTATACCTGCTACTTGGATAAACCTTGAAAACATGCTGAGTGAAATATATCAGTCATAAAAGGACAAATGAGAAACAGGCAAATAAATAGAAAACAAAGTTGATTAGTGCTTTTGTCATTTCCCTTCTGCATTCTATGGTGAAAAAGTTTTTCCCAAAAAATGAACTGGACATTTGTAGTCTTTCAGCTAACTGCAACTGAATATGATTTTCCCCCATTTATACCATTTATTCATCTTTGCATTTAATATTATTTATAAAGTACAGTCTTGGTGTGATGCTGTTGGATAAGCACTGGACTGCTAACCACAAGGTCAATGGTTCAAACCCAACAAATGCTCTCTGGGTCTCTATGAGTTGGAAACAACTAACACTTCACTACGAACAACGTGTATTGGAAACTGATGGTAGTTGGTGGTTGTGTTCCATCCAGTCAGTTCCAACTCATAGGGGAGCCTGGATAGGATTTCCGAGGCTATAAATCTTTACAGGAGCAGAAAGTCCCAACTTTCTCCTACAGAGCAACTGGTAGACTCAAACTGCTGACCTTGAGGTTAGCAACCCAACTCATAATCCAATATGCTAACAGAGCGTCTTTAACACCATGTTTAGTGCTCTTGATTCAGTTCTGATTCTTAGTGACCCTGTATGCAACAAGCATTTGTGCATGGCAAAAATGCTCAACAGAAGTGGCCAGTGGGGGCCCACTAGCAGAGAGGGTCTGCAGTTCTCCTTTCACTTGAGGACACTGCCTTCTTCTGTTTTTTTTCAGTTAAATAAGGAAACAAGGGTTGAGGCCAGTGACCATGGGAGTCAGATTTGACCCATGTTTTGAACCAGTGGTAACAATCAATCAAAGTTCTATAATCAAAGCCCGGGACTATATAGAAAACTCCTCTTTGCCCCATGTTTTGCTCATGCCATGCTGCCAAGTCTCATAAACCTACATGGCCGGTAACACAAGGAAACCATAGTTCCTTTTGCAAACTAGTGCAAAGGAAATAAAGCAAACTGACATCAACAGCCTATCTGAGTTAAACTTTTGATATTTTCTTGATTGTGGATTTTTTGCATTCATTTTGTTTTGTTTTATTTTTAAATATTGCATGAAAATGTCATTTATATTCATGATCGAAATGTTTTGATACTCCCTTAACTTTTATGACTGAGGTAGTGCATCATTCACCTTCCTCTGCCGTGATTGAGAACTAGATTATGCACTACCCCATTTCTGGCTGGGTCCTCATGTTGGTCTAGTGCCCTCTAGAGGCTAGAGGCAGGGGTCTTGGCTCAGCATCTCCCCCACCCTATCCCTGGTGTGGCGCTGTAGAATGCATCAGCACTAGACTGGGAAGCACAAGGTCAGCAGATCAAACCCACCAGCTGCTCCTTGGAACCCTGGTGATGATGTAAGATAAGCACTGGATTGCTAAACTCAAGGTCAGCAGTTCAAACCCACCAGCAACTCTGTGGGGAAAAGATGAGGCTTTCTGTGCCCGTAAAGATTTAAAGCTTCAGAAACCCTGTACAGGGTCGCTATGAATCAGAATCAACTAGAAGAAGGCAGTGGGTTTGTGTTTAGGCATATCTACTTCCCTACAATATGCCACAAGTCCATTCACCTCTCTTTAACACTGTCACCTCTCTGGTCCCAGTCACCATCTCCTCTGTCCCAGATCACTGCAGAAATCCATATAGTCTCCTGTTTCCCATTCCATTGTCAATATCTTTAAGACGCAAATTGGACTGTGTCCCCTGTGCCAAATGAGCAGAATTTTTAAATGTTGTTGTTGTTAAGTGCCATTGAGTCAGTTCCAACTCATAGCAACCTTGCATAGGGTTTCCAAGGAGCTGGTGGGTTTGAACTGCCAACCTTGTGGTTCACAGTCCAGTGCTGATCCTACAGTGCCATACAAGTACTCCTAGGTTAGTAAGACCAATTAAAATATAATCATATACACAAAAGGTATCTAATTAAAAATATGTTAGCTATATCAAAGAGCATCCAGTTTAAAATAAAGTTGATTTTAAACAGAAAAAAAAGAAAGAAGCTAAAAATGAGCAAGTAAAATGCATGGTCATCACAAAATTTCCACCTGCGCTCTGTGAGGTTGCCACTTCTGATTTAATGCTATTCCTTTGGAATCGATTCACTGGTAGTAGGTTTGGTTTGATGCTTGAGTTTCTAGTGTCTCTGCCCTTTTGGAGTGTTGGTTGACCAGGCTGAGAAGGGCCAGGCTCAGAGCTGAGTGCCTGGGCACACCCAGCCACAGTGTACCCACCCAGCCCCAGTCCAGTTCTCATGCAGGTAGAGGACAGTGTGTCCAAGTACACCCAGCAGCAGACATTCTGCCGGTCATAGCTGGCTCTTTGAGCTGCTGTAGCCCAGTGGCAGTCAAATCCCTTTACCTCCAGTGTTAGGCAGTCTTCAAATGACAGACCGTTCCAGTCATAAATGTACTGTTCAAAACAAAAAGAGGAAGTTTATTGTAATCCAAATGCAGGCACCAGGCGATCCCTTTATTTTATATAACCCTCCGTAATAATTCTGAGTAGTAAGTGCAGATCCAATGTTCCATTAAGTCCCCTGAAGCAATAATCATTTGTGTATTGATCAGGAGACGAATCAATCCAGTCCAGTCCATCTCACTAAATGATTAATGGAGCAAATTGCATTAATGGAGCAAATAACCTCTGTCAGGGAGAAGAGAAGCCCTGTGGTGAGTTAACAGGTAGGTTTTGTTCTTTAACCCTGTTGTTGCCACAGGAATAAAGTTTGCATGCTAAAGGGAGTTTGAATCCAAAGGCACAAGTACAGACCAAGGCTGCAGGGAAGGATTAGGAAAGCTATCTGGGCAAGCCCTCACATTTCAAGGACCCTGGGAGCAGGTGAAGAAGTACAGGGAGTGCAATGGATGAAGCTTACAAGCTCAGTGGTCTGAACCAGCAGCTGCTCAGCGGGAGAAAGATGAGGCAGTGTGCTTCCTTCCATAAAGATGACAGCCTCGGAAACCCTATGGAGCAATTCTACTCTGTCATTTAGTGTCAGTATGAGCAGGAACTCACTGTGATGGCAGTGGGTTGGGTTTGGGTTTGGGAACAGGTGGGTGGAGGGGGTTAGACTCAGATCAGAGAGGAGTGTCAACCTCACATTCAGCATGTGGGTGGGAGAAAGCAGCTTACGGAGGGGCTTCAGGTGTCTCAGAGTGAGGCCAAAGTCCCTATTGGAGGTATTAAGTCTCCCCCAACCAGTGCTGCCTACCTCTCAGAGATCTGACTGCTGA